CACATTTCTTACACACTACCAAGTAGGTCTTCCCTTGCCCAGAAGCTTCTTTGGTATGTCTCTCATGAAATCACACTTTTCAAGTTCATTTGTAAAGCTTTAGCTCMTTTACATTTACAATTCTTTACAGATTCTTCCCTCTCACAGAAAGCCAACTAATTTAAAAATAAGGAAAGTTTTACTTTCAAAGTGATCATCTAAGTACAATTCTAGGTACTTTACCTCTACCTTAACGCTACAGGTAATTATGTTGTATTACACTCTAGGGATTTAAAAGAGTGTTAGTAAAGAGAGATACTCAATTATAATAGTAGATATGACTAAGAAAAAGGGCATACAGCAGCTTTCCCATACCTCTAAATCCTGTGAGTTCTGCAAATGCAGTAATAGGTCTGTGAAAAACAAAAGTACCCATTCTCAACCCATTCTTTACTAACAGGTAAAAGCAGAAACTCATGAAGAATTTCAAAATGCACAACATTCACCTTTAAAAATATCCTGGTCAGTAAATGACAAATTTATCTTGCTCAAAGCAGGGTAGTAGAGAAATAAACTTAGAAAAAAAGACAAACTGGTTTCAATATGTTTTTTTTTTTTGTTCCACCTTAATACGGCATGACCTAGTTAGTCATGATAGTAGTAATGGCATGCATTCTGGTCCAGAGGACATTTTTCTTCCTCTGTCTCTGAAACTATACAAGTAATGTAATCTTCTGTTTCCTTTATCCACAGATTATATTTTTCAATCTCTCCAACACCTTTCTAAATAACRTTCTGAAGCAGGATAYACTATTTATACTGCTTACATCTGTRACATGTRCTTTTCTGATTTTTTCATTAAACTTGAAGTATTCTTCCTCCCTAAACACTCAAAGATCCGTATTCATGTGTTTGTCATCACATTAAAAACCATCAAGAAGTTTCTCATTCTCAGCTGTCAATTATTCCTTCAGAGGAAGTAAGATTGTGCAGAGGAAGTAAGACTCTGCACATGTGTTTAAGACTGCTGAGTTGCAACATAAAATGGGTTTAAACAAACCATTCTGCAAGAATATTCAAAGTAGGAAATCACTGAAAAGATTCAAATCCTTCCTCTCCCACCACTCTGCAAACCACCTTCCTCAGCAGTGGCCACAGCTTTACTATTTCACACCACGAAAGCATCTTCTAAATTATAAAGTTTTAKCTTTTGGAAGAGCAGCAAACTTACTGTTTCTAAACATCACTGCAGTTTAAGCTAGAACTAAGAATGTGAAGAACTGAAAGAAATCTTCTGATGTTGACAATTTGTTCCAATTTAGCTTCACCTCTTTAAACACAGTTAAACTAATGCCACTCTCACCTTACGCTGCGATCCTAAGACCATGTTAACCCATCAAAACACACAATTTAATTTTTGAAACCAAAAGAAGAGCACCTTAACTATCATTCCTTGTTTTTACTGCACACAGCAAGTGGGGGTGGAACAAACCAATAGCCAAAATCAGCAAGAGATAACAAATTAATCAAAACACTAACCATCCTTCTATCACCAACAGGAATGCTTCTTTAACCAAGTGAAGCACCAGGCTTTCAAAGATTCTGAAGCAAGATTCTCTAACTACTTTCCATATGAAAAAATAATAAAGTTAGGAGCAAATGTTTAAAGTTAAAAGTCTGAGAGTTATGGTAAGAAGAAGTTATGCTCATATAGCTAAAAATCTACATGGTAC